ATCAATGACTCTAAAAAGTTAGTGGAAACCTGAAATAAAAGGCTTTCTCTCTGCAGCAAGAACCAAACTAGCAAGTACACTATTCATGCTTGAGAAAATGTTACAGCATTCATGGCCAATTTATACCTTAAAGTGACATTAAACCCTCAGATTTTTTTAACATAAAACAATACTGTAATGTGTGCCTTATTGTAATCCATGGTAGTTTCCCTTCTCTTTGCTGCTCTTCCTTTAAAATCCTGATCTCTTCTCATGCTGGGGAGAACTTCCGTTTTTCAGCTGACTGCCTCTTCTCTGCAACTTTGTATGGTGTATGTCCGCTCGTTCACATGAACCAGGACTACAAGATGAGGTCATCCCTACATGTACATCCCCGCCCAGTTTAGATTGGCAACAGCTGCTGTGTTGTGTCTGATCTCCTAAGCAGAGCAAGGTTGTTGTTTTTCTCGTTTTTTTGTTTAAACAAACTTTATTGCTTATGTTTATTTCATAAACAGCCTATTCATTGCATTGTGTACTGTGTGATGGCTGCAGTCTTTTTTTTTAAATAATTATTTCCTATGTGTTGATATATATTTAGGTAATCACTGTAATTACCTAAATGTGATATCACGGCTCGCTCCGCCCATTTGACACTCTCAGCTGTCAAATGCTACATAGCATTCGGGAACTCCCGAATACTATTCATGAGTTTCCGAATGCTATTCGGGTCTGTGAGCCGAGGTGTCATAATGCTTTTCAGATGACACCTCGGCTCACAGACCTCTTCTCTCTTCGGCGTCCCACGTCGTCAAGGAGACGTGCATGTGCAGTAGAGCCGCCGCCCGCCCGTTACTAGATGCCGCGCAGGTGCAGTAGAGCCGCCGCGCAGGCGCAGTAGAAAAAAAAGCTAGTGAATTGTGGGGATTGTAGGCGCCGTATGGGCTAGTGGTGAGCGCGCCTTAGACCGGAAGATAAAGACACACCAGGAGAAGGAGAGGGAGCGATGCCGGACATTCAAGATAAGTTTTAGTATGATTTTTTTTTTCTTAAACTATCAAAGATTGGCTATTACATGAAAGAGACTAAACTATTTAGAGAAAAAAAAAGCTAGACTTTAATAGCACTTTAACCCTTGTTTTTATTATTCTGGAAATGGGGAACAGCCCATTAGTTACAACAAAACACACACATTGCAAACAAAATATACTGGGAATTGGAAAACCATCTTGTCTTAAATTGTATGGTGACTGTTTTGTCTTCCTTCAACTTGTAAAGCGCTATATAAATCCTGTGTAATAAAAAAAATAAAATAAAAAATACAGAAACCTAATACATCACCAGCAGAATATTGAATGCAGGTTTTCGGCCCTGCATATAGAATAACAAGGAATACATCTCTTGGCTTTGGACAGACTCCAGAGATTTGCTGACTTGTGTCAGGGTGGTCAAAAAAATCAGAGACGAGAAGCCAGTCATTTGTATCAGCCAACCATGCTCAAGCTAACGATAGATAGAGATAGAGAGGCTGGCTCTGTTCAGGTATTCTGACAGTGGCAGATTGCTGCTGTCAGAATAAACAGCAAAGAGCAGGGGATTCATCAAACAATTCCTGTAAGGGTTGAGGGAGAAATCTGTTATAATTTCTTAGTTCAGCCTGCATGTCGAATGAACAAAACTATAAGCGTATATACCCGGCTTTAGTTCATCTCCATTTCATGGGGAAGAATGAGGTTAGTAGTTTACAGAAGAAAAATGCAGTATCTTGCTTTCTGTTTACCTCAAAGAAACTTACAAGGCAATTTGTATTTGTGTCAAGATCAACCGGTATTTTATTGTACCTTCCAAAAAAGTTCTTAGCCTAAAACTTGAAAATGAACGCAGCCACCACATTCAAAGATTTGGTAATCTGTAATATAGGAACTTTTTGTAATCTGTAGTCTTTTTTTAAGTTTTGGAAGGAGTATGAACAGCTTTGACAGACTATCAGGTATTTAGTAATGTCTGTCTTCCTGCTGATTTATCCTCTCAATTTGTCCTGGGGACTACGCCACCGAGACAGAACCTAACAGTAAATCCAAAAACCAAAATCAGTATGCAGCCACAAATCTACCACTAATACTTTCTGTCTAATGTGATACCACCAAAATTGTTGGTGGTAGGTTACCTTGAACCTTTCGTTGCTATGGTTAAAAATGGAAGAAACTTCCAAAAAGACTGTCTACCACATGACCATCATTGGAGTAGCTGAAATTCCTGAAATTTCTAGTTTCTGCATGCTTTTAGACCAATAACTAGAAGAATGATATAGAATAGGTTGAACTCAATGGACTTGTGTCTTTTTTCAACCTGACTAACTATATAATGATGTGTTTTTGCATATTTGCAGCTCTCTATGCTCTTGGGAAGCAAGGGAATGCATACTTCTAAATTGGCTATAATTCAAGCTAGGAGGCCCACTTAAGCCGAAGATCAGTGCAGTATGTAGTCTACAGTATATGCCTTCTGGTTTTACTTGAACTTCCTAAACAGTTTAGGGAGAAGGAGGGGGTTGCCTCATATTTTTATAAGAGCATATAGACTTCCAAGCAAGTTGACCCTAAATATGATGTTTGTTACAGTGAGGTTTGTTTTCAGTTAACACTATTATCTGATGCTGTCTTCCCTAATAACAGGAAACATTTAATAAAAACACAGTTACTGCTTTCACTCAGGCTACTGAGATCATTTTATTCCTAAATTGCGTACAAATATGTTAAAAAGTAAGTAAAAGCAGTAAAAATGTTACATTATGGGGCATTTTCCAATAAAACAATCTTATACCAAGCATGCTTTTGTTTAACTAGTATGTTTTATGTTTAACTATCACAATGTGTATTAAATTAATAAAACTGCCTTTGCTTTCTGTGTTTGATGCGAAAACCTGCCATCTATTTCCCAACATCTGTGATAAATTCCCCTGTCCATATTTTGTAATAGACAAGAGAGCCTTCGTTGGATACAAACCAACCATTCTGATATGGGTCTGTCAATTCCACAGATGTCCAGCAGTTACATTTTAAATCAGCAATGGAGTTGCAAAATACAATGTTATGTTTGAGAAACTTATTTCTTTACAGGTGGTCTAATAAATGCTGCAGGCTTTCAATCTGTGGGGAAAACTTAAGTAGCAGATACTTACTTTTATCTTAATAGCAATTCTTTTTTATTGTGCACAACAGATTAAAATGATTACATACTCTGTTTTGTGAAAGTGTGTTGAGCTTACAGAAGTCACATAACATTTGCTAGAAATATTGTATAAACGCAGTAAAAATAAAAAATTCTGCTAATGTGTGCCAAACATAAACACAACTGAATGTCACTTACACATAACAGAAATCAGATACTGAGATCAATATTTAGAGTTTATGTATCAATGTACAGCATCTTAAAGCAACCCTGGTATGAACTTCTTATAATGAAACTAAGGCCAGTCTGTAAAAGAAGAAGGTTAACACCTATTTGAGAGGTGATGTTCTAAAACGTTGCTGTATTGCAGAAGTCCAGCTGCCACTAGTATGTGACACTTCCAGGTAAGTCAAATGCACAGTGATTCCTCCCACTGACCCATATGTCACCCTTATGTTTCCGGTAGCGGCATAAGGCAGGGAAGGGACCACAGTGCATGGCAGGAGAGCAGGAATATGACACACTCGGAAGTGTTGGCCAGTGGTGGTTAGAGGTCCGCAATTTAGTGAAGTCTTGGTACACCACCAGCCAGAAAGGTATTTGCTTTCTTCTATTACAGGCTGGTCTTAGTTTAATTATACAAAATTAGTGTCAGGGTAATTTTTAAGGGTCAATTTATCCAAAACTGATAGCTGTGGTTTATATTATGTTCTGGCTTCTTATATCTCTGTAGAACTCCAGTGTGAAAATTAGTCATGACAAAGAGGTCTCATCCTTGTTAGAAACGTAAAGCTCCATAGTGGAGACAATTTGATAAGCAGCAACTAGAACTCAGGTGCAGAGATCTCATTGCTAGTGTCCCCAAGAAATATAAGAATCCAGATGGACAATTCAGCTAACTAGCATCAAGTCGAAACCAAAATACCTGACTGACCCTTTATGGCTAGTGAAAATATGTATTTACTATGCACTTACCATGCATTGACATCCAATTTTTATGCACTGCCCATGTATTTAATGTAAGTTTAGTGTCACTTTAAGGCCCTGATGCTAAAGCAGCAGCCCAAGGGTCACATGGTCCTTTTGGCCCTTATTGAGAGACCCAGAGGTTCCAATAGGCACTAGTTAAAGTCTTCCTTGCCCAGATGCTTACTCAAGGCAGTGAAGAAAAAATTCATTAGACTAAGTTTTGCAGAATAAATTATTTGGGTTGTTTCACAATTTTCTACTTTTTCTTTACAGTTCATTACCTTGTTTACGTATTTTCTGATCTTTTATAGCATATCATACTGTGAGAAATATCTAATGATGAACCAGTCATTTTAAAGCGTATGTAGAGAGCAGTCATCTCTAGCAGTTTTATAACATGACTCCCTAGTTTTTAATTGTTTCCTACAGGATATCTGCAGTCTTCCACCACTTCTGTAGCATGCCTGAAGTTTGTGTGTGACCACTGCCTATAGTATGTATACAGTCTAACAGTTTTCTGTAGCTTTACATGCACTGAATTGTACATCCTATTTTAGTCAGCGGCCACACTTCAAATTCCCTGTATCAGGTAAGTTGACCACCACTACATTACAGTTTGTGTGGATCAACAGAAATTATATGAAAAATATGTCTTTTACCACACGAATTTAACACTTGTCTCTTACTAGATGACACTGTGTTCACGCTCATGCATGCTTGTTGAATGATGCAGAACAGAGGGTTTTAAAGTTTGCAAAAAGTAGGGATTACCTTTAGAATTTTCCAACAGTATTTGCTAGCTTGTAGCTTGTGACAATATTTATAACACTTTGCACACTGAATATTCACACCAAGTATTGTTAACATTTACTTACCAATTATTTAAACAGTGTCAGACACTTAGAGAAAATGGCTGTTTATCTGCTATGTCCTTCCGTGAAGGGCCTTCCACTTGGTTCAGCAATGGGTTTGGTAGAGTTGCATTAAATGTTCCTTTTAGCACCGTATCTCTAAATACTGGGCTCAGCTATAAATACAAACAATAACAATTATTTTTAAATGTATATTGGCAAGACTTTATGCTGTAAATTAAACTAAAGTAATATATTATTTTTTTCATTTATACTGTGCTACCAAATTCTAGAGCACTTTAGAAGAGATAAAGTCCATCCTTATCAGTCCCATTCCTCAAAGGTGTACACTGTAATGCCCCTTTCACAGTCATAGAGATTATCACAACAAGGTCCAATTTATTGGTAGAAACCAAATAACTCGTCAGAATGTTTTTGTGTTTTGTGTGAGTGCATTGAAACCAGGTTACTGAGATGAAACTCAAGCAAACATGTAAAGAACCCTATTCCATACAGCTTGTGCCCCTGGAAAACAAACACAGGACCCATATGCAGCAAGGCTAATGGCTCTAAACAATTTAAAGCAGTAAAACAAGAATCCAGGATTGCTGCATGATGGTTTATGACCACAGATGTTTTTTAACCACTAGTTGTACAATGTACTATACATTAACATACAGTACATGGTATAGTTTCATCAAGTTTTCTAAAGAAATCTCATACTTTGGGTTATTAGGTCCTTGGCCAAAAATATGTCAATTTTAACCACTTGAAGTCCGCAGTGTCAAACCTCCTTCCTGTCCAGGCCATTTTTCAGTATTCAGCGCTGCAGTACTTTGAATAACGTTTATTCCGTCATGCAACGCTGTACTGAAATTAATTTTATACCATTTTTTGGGGACAGATAGAGCTTTCGTTTGGTGGTATTTAATTACCACCAAAAAAATTACCATACATTTTGAAAAAAAAAACTGTTTCCCTTATATTAAATTATAAAACATGTATTATTACCCAATTTTTTGGTAAAATATAAAAGTCAGGGTCCTGTAAAGTAAATAGACATCAAACATGTCAAGTCTTAAAATTGTGCGCGCCTGCAAAACCTCAAAAAACTACAATACCCAAAATTGTCCTTAGGTAACACTTTAAAAGCTTTTACCACTCATCAGTTTAGTGTTTAAAAATTATTGCACTCACTCTGATGTTTTGCACTCACTCTGAAGCTTTTACCATTTATCAGTTTAGTGTTTAAAATTATTGCACTCACTCTGCTTCAACAGCTTCTTCTCTGGCTATAGCAACCAGAGGAATGACAGCTCAATGCGGAAAGTGATGTAGTACACATCACTTCCGCATTCAGACATCGGAGGGAGATCAGCAAGGAGGAAGATGCTGATTTCCCTCCCCTCTTCCTGCTGACACCCTCCCGGGCCACAGATGGGGCAGTGGAGGCCGGAATTAAAGGTGAGGATGCAGGAGGGGGGAGGAATTTCGGCACTGCAGGAGGGGGATGTGCGCAGGGCAGGAAAAAAAAGCCGTTTAATTACGGCGACTCGCCAATGGGAGCTTGCCGTCCATCCGTTTTTTTACAACAATAATAACTTATTTAGTGGCAGCAACACTAATCATTATTTCTTTACAACCCATGTGAAGTGTCTGGAGACATGAAGAAAAATAAATAAATACTTATAGTGATTCTAAAAAAAAATGCCATGCATCCCTTTACATATATTGTAGATGGTCTTTGCTCCTCCTTGCCAAGCAAAAATGATTAAGCCTAGGGAGTATACACAAATGAAGGGTTGCTGGAATGCCTTCCATGATACCACTGCATCTGCAGGAAACTTTGCAGAGAATTTGAACTGGCAGGACCCATCATGAAACCAATAATACTTTCAAAGGTCAGCAAGATAAAGGTAAAGTTTTTTTATTTGCACATCTGCTTGCTTCTCTATATGTACTAAAATGCTAAGGTGTTTTGAACATGTATTTATGAGCTAATCGATTAGTTTTGCTGAAAATATCAAACAGATATACACCCACTATATCATGGAGCAGTCTAATGGTGTGAATAGACATTTGTCTTTGACATGTGAGATGAGCATTACAGCTTTTGTGTGGTTAATATGCCAGCAAAATAAGCCCAATACAACAAGTCAAAGCAAACAACATGACAATGTATGCCTTTGCTTCTAAACCTGAAATAACACCTTATTTTTGCAATATTCTGGTGTGCTGTCATAACTTTATACCTTTGTTGCTATGAACCCTCTACTTTTCCCTTCTTGACCAGCAATTTCTGAAGGTTAGTTAACCGTGCCACTAACATAAGCAAATATCTGCAATCGAATCTTAGTAAAGTAGTTCACAAAATGGTCATGTGTTATAGTTAATAGAGGAGTATTTGCATAGCCATGCCACTATCCTAATATGAGGAATTAAAGTGTATTAATAGCCAATTATTGTTTCACTTTCGGAAGATTGTGGAAGGATTATAACCCCTGTCAAGTTATTATTGCTGTGACCCACTATGTACATGTAGAAAGTGATGGAAAATTCTAAGGGGGTTATGCATTAAGCTGTCAAAGACAGCCGAATGAATAACGGAACAGAAGTAAAGTGAATGGCTATTCACCGGAGCCTTGTACGGCTATTTTGAGCCATACATGAACTGCATTCAGCTCACTTCACTTTCCTTCGGTTCAGCCAAACAGCCTTGGCATGTTCGGCCAAACCAAAGGGAAGAACACATTCACCTCAGCCGATGCAACATCTGGATTGGCCGAGGCGAACGTTTGGCAGTTCATTGCCTGCTGTTCACCCCTATTCTCAAAGGGGGCGAACGGCAGAAAGTGAATTGCCAAATGCTTGGCTCAGCATTCGGCTCGGTCATTCTGTTCGCCACTTCAGAAGTAGTGAACAGAATGAAAAATGTCACGTGACGTCACAGGACTCATGCTGCCCATTTGTTTACATGCCATTTGAGGACAATGAGCTGCCATGGCATGAAAACAAATGGGCGGAGCGAGTCGTGACGTCACTACTCGCTTCACCCATTTGTTTACATTCGGGCCGGACCTTTCATTTTGCAGTGGGAGTTGAGCAGTAGCATTTGGGGCGGCAGGACTTTTATAATTTTGGCGAGTCGGCGGGTGTCGTTCATTGCGATTGATGTTGGATTACATTGCTGGATGACGTGATTGACCTTTGGATTACAATGTTGGACAATTTCTAAGAATAAAGGATATGTGAAAACCTTTCTTTTGTTCAATTAAAGGATTTTTTCATGTTGTTTTTTTTATTTACTTTTTACTGTACTCTTTGGTGAATGAGTAGGGGTAGCAACTATCCCTTACGCATTCACAAAGGGGGGCAGCATCGGGGAGCACCCTGTAAAAAGGGGGTGCCCAGATGCAGATGAGCCCCCCTGCCCGCAGACCCCCACAACCACTGGGCCAGGGTTGTAGGGAAGAGGTCCTTGTCGTCATCGGCATGGGGACAAGCTGCTTTTCCAGGGGGTGATGTGGCTTTTCCGTGGGCATTTGGCCTGGTATGGTGCCAGACCACTGCTCTGATTAAGGGTCTGTTATGGGATTTTAGGGGGACCCCACTTTTTTCCCTTTTTTGGCCATTGGGGTCCCCCTAAAATACCTACCAGAAGTAAAAAGGGTCAGGGATTAATTACAATTAGGGGGGAATTTCTTTCCCCCCTAAAAATCCTACCTAGCATTCCTAGCACGTACAGCAGCCCTTCAGTTCGGGTTGAACCAAAGGGTTCCTGCAGCTGAAGTGAGCCGAAGGATTAGCCAAATGTGCGGCCAAATCCTTTAGGCTCTTTAGTGAATAACCCCCCCTAAATGTTTAAGTTGTTATCAGAAGAGAAATAGAGGGGATGGAGAACGGGGATTGGGCAATGGGGAAATCTATTTAGTGTCAACTGTGTAAGAAGAGAATTCCATTGACTTTGAAGACATTCTTCTAGCTTCCTGTTGCATCTCAGGAACATGTCATTGTCTAAATAAGGGAGCTGTGCTTGCTGATTCAAGATAATAACTCCAGGCCTGTCATACTTATCCTTGTGTCCATTCTTTTTTGAGAAAATATTTTATTGTTTTACACAATTTAAGTACAACAGTGCATGCTACTTGCATCCCAAACACCATGGGCACCAGTCGTAGCAATGCATTTAACAAATTAGAAAACAGCAAGGGAAAATAAAAGAGAAGAGAACAAAAAATTAAAATAAGGGAAAAAGTTAACACAGTACAGGTGGAGGGGAACGTTTCCCAATGTACCTCACCGAGCGAGACAGTGCACCATATAAATATACTTGCCTAAGACTCAGTAGTGAGAGAAAAATAATAAAAAGGTGGATCCAGTAGTGGGACATGGGGCCGCCCATATCCAGGTAATATAGCAATGACCCAAATACAGGTGAAACTCGGAAAATAAGAATATCGTGCAAAAGTTCTTTTATTTCACTAATGCAACTTAGCCGTCTACCAGGAGATTTTGGAGCACTTCATGCTTTCTTCCACAGACGAGCCCTATGGGGATGCTGACTTCATTTTCCAGCAGGACTTGGCACCTGCCCACACTGCCAAAAAATTTCTGAAATTGTGGATCTGGGTTTTCATGAGCTGTAAGCCATAATCATCACAATTATGACAAATCACGGCTTGAACTATCTTGCTTTGCATGTAATGAGTCTATCTCATATATTAGTTTCACCTTTTAAGTTGCATTAGTGAAATAAATTAACTTTTGCATGATATTCTAATTTTTCGGGTTTCACCTGTATATCTATGGCACCCCGAAAGGGCTAATGAATCCCCATTAACTTATGCATCCATATCTACTGCAGAGTTGTGTCCATTCTTTGAGAGTCACTGAGCTGAAACAAGCATGCAGGCCAGGTGTTTTGAAATGTCACCTGATATACAGTTATTAAGGGACTCATTAAGTAGTATAGCAAGGATAGGGAAGACGGTCCCGAAGCTTTCAAATTTAAAAACAAGCAGCAGCAAAGGCAGCTTACTTATGTATTTCCTAACATAATTATTATAAGCCAAACATACCCTGCAGACACAACTTGCATAGAAACTAAACACCACATGCAGACTGATATTTTCATCTGAATAAATATGAGGAGAATTTGCCATTAGACACAATGTTT